TAAAAAAAAAAAAAAATAGCAGCTTCTAGAAGAAAGCAGCATGAACATTTTCACTGTTTAGGTAGCACGAAACATACTAACCATGAAAGTTGGTTTAGTTGGTTGATAAGTCAGACCTCATTAACATTCGGGACTTCTTTTATCAAAAGAGACACCATTAGATGAGAGTGTAGGTATGGAGCACAGACTGGGAGCAGATACTTGCAGTGCGGACCCATGACAAGGATTCGTGTCCAGAGTACGTACAGGACGTAGGCAAACGATAAGAAAAAGGCAAACAACTCAATAAAGGTGTGTTGGGTTGTTTTGATTGTTGTAGGGAAGGAGTGAAGGACTGCTAACCAGAATGTGACAGTGGTTAAAGGGACAGATCCTGGAGGTAGAGACCTGGTTTAGAAATAGCTTCATTACTTATCACCTGAGGAATTCGGGGCACATTTTTAAATTTCTTGTAACTCAGGGGCACCTGGGTGGCTTAGTCGGTTAAGCATCTGACTTCAGCTCAGGTCATAAACTCGCGGTTCTTGAGTTCTAGCCCCACGTCAGGCTCTGTGCTGACAGCTCGGAGCCTGGAGCCTCTTCGGATTCTGGGTCTCCCTCTCTCTCCCTTCCTCCCCCACTTGCACTCTGTCTCTCTCTCTCAAAAATAAAGAATAAAAAAAAATTTCTTCTAACTCAGTTCTTTATAAAATGGGGGCGATAGTCCTATGTACCACAGCTGTTTTAAAGGACGTGTGCTTCGCAGAGGGCCTGGTGAGTTCTTCTTGTTGTCATCATCTAATTAGAGCACTCATCCAACTGGAGCATTCCATTCTTGAGTATTGGCATCTTTTCATGTGTCTGTCACTGTATGCCTCTGTCTCTAGTTGTGGGGAGGTGGGGGGCAGTGATGGAAACACCAACCTTCATGGAGCTGTTTCAAGAACTTTGTCAGGCTTGAACCTCCTGTTGTAAAAAAAGTTCTTTGTTCTTTTAATCTGAATGATTTCTTCCATTTTATCCTAGAAAACTGTTACAGCAACCATGTTGGAAACTGCAGCGCAGGTAATTCCACAGTGCACACCACAGCTGGCGGACCTGTGTCTGTGCAGGGAACGGCTCCCCACGCTGGGGGGCTCCCTGAGAACCACAACCCCGGCAGCTCGTCAAAGTCCCTGCAGGCCTCTACAGCAGTGGCACCACAGAAGTGCTTTTTACAGATCACAGGCATGACCTGTGCATCCTGTGTGTCTAACATAGAGAGAAACCTTCAGAAAGAGGCAGGTAAGCCATCTACACACTGAACTGGGGAAGCTGCGTGTAGGCTGTGAGCCCCTGCGGTCAGCAGAATGGGCACTGTGCTCTCCCTTCACGATCCTCATTGACTCAGTTTGTCAGCAGCCCTGATACTCTGGCAGCAAGTTCATTAGGTGATGGTAGAGATGTTTGTCTGATGTTCTTGGGCAATTGGCATTCTTCTGCTTAGGAAGTATGTAGTTTGTTTAAGATAAAATGTCTCCGAGTAAGTTAGTGAGGGGCAGTCCAGTTTAAAGGTCGGGGACATTCCATGGGTAACTTCCTCAGCTTGTCCTAGTGGTGGTCTTTATCTCCTCCACCCCCACCCCCAGTCCCATCCATCAGCCTCCAGCTAGCGCATGAATACGTAGCCTGCAGTTTGCAGAGAAGTTGCAATTTTGAATATTCTGTCCTTTGTCCCTGTAAATCATAGGGTGTTACGGAAGTGCCCAAGTTTTATCCTCTGGACTACATTTCCAGTACTGTCTCTGAAACCTGAAAGTGCAACAAAGATCCTGTCCCACTTTTGTTTGGAAAATATCTTAACCATGACGACCTTGCCACCGGAGTCCCTTTCTCTCTTTCCATGTATCTCTCTGCTCAGATTCCTTGGCCATCACAGCCAGCCCCAAATTAGGATGATGTGTCTCCAGCCTCTTGTTCCCTATGTTTTATCGTGGCTGGAGCTCTAGAAAGACTCTTCTCAAATTTAGGTGTTCTAAGAGTTTCTTTGTCATCCATGGGCTGGCTGTTCATAAAATATCCTACATCTCATGGTTCCTGTGTTTCTTTTCCTGACTTGCAGCCCTCATTTTTATTCCTTATGGCATCCTTTCTAAAGCACGTTTCTTTCTTTTATGTGAATGAGTCTTATTTCCCCCCTCAAACTCACAAATAATCTCACTGGATATACAATGGCATCATGTCCCAGTCAATGCATCGTATGTTAAAAATATTGCAAGTCAAAAATGCATTAAAGCTCAGTCAGTGAAGCATCAGACTCTTGGTTTTGGCTCAGGTTCACAGCCCCATGTTGGGCTCTGTGCTGATGGTACGGACCCTGCTTGGGATTCTCTCCCTCCCTCTCTCTCTGCCCCTCCCCCCTACAAAAATACATGAACATTTAAAAAAATGTGTTTAATACACCTAACCGACCAAACATCATAGCTTGGCCGAGCCACCCTGAAATGTGTCACAATGTGTATCTGTCACTCGTTGTCATGATGGCGTAGCTGTATTGCACAACACAGCGCTAGCCCCAGGAAAGATCCAAATCCAAATTCTGAAGTCTGGTTTCTAACGAATGTGTATCACTCTCGCACCAAAATGAAGTTGAAAATTTTTAAGCCAAATTAATTGTAAGTCGGGGTGGTCTGTAATCTGTAGGATTTCTCTTCCACTTCTGAATGGGATCAGAGCCTGAAAAAGAGTAAGGACAACCACTTTTGAAAGAATTTTTTTCTCCGTGTATGAAAAGTGTCTGAGGGCAAAGGACACCATTTAACTGACATTTAGTAGTTGCAGGCTGCAGACTGTATGTATCCCTTGCTGTGAGGTGTGGACACAGTCCGTGTCTTCTCCAGCCTGACTCAAAGCCACCCACCCCACCCCCCACCCCACCCTGCTGCCATCCCGGGGCCAGCAGCACAGGCATCACCTGGGAGCCGGGTGGACCTACAGAACCTCAGACCCACTCCAAACCTACTGAGCCGGAATCTGTAGTTTATCAAGGTCCTCGGTTGATTTGCCCATCAACATGTGAGGAGTGCTGTTCTAGAACAGTGGTTCTCACACTTGGCTGGTACATTAAAGTCGCCTGGGGAGCTTTACAAAAAGATGCCTGGCACCCACCCTGAGGGGTCCTGGTTTAACTGGTTTGGGTTTGGGGCCAGGCATGGTGCTCGTTAAAAGGCCAAGTGATCCTAAAGTGCAGTCCGGTTTGAGAACTCCTGTTCTAGAGGCTTCTGGGAGCAGATGTGTTTCTTTGTTAGGTTGTGTTGAATGTGTCATCCCAGAGGCCCTGCCTGGAGTGTTGTAACTGTGGCCCGACGGTTCCAGGTATTCTCTCGGTGCTGGTCGCCTTGATGGCTGGAAAGGCAGAGGTTAAGTACAATCCGGAAGTCATCCAGCCGCTGGAGATAGCTCAGCTCATCCAGGACTTGGGCTTTGAGGCTGCGGTAATGGAAAACTACACAGGCTCAGATGGTGACCTTGAGCTGATCGTAAGTGTAGCGGCCGGGCGGGCGCTGGGGCAAGAGGGCTGCAGGCATCTGACAGGGGCCGGGAAACTTCTCCCATTTTGCACGTATGCTGTGTGTTGTCGGAGTTGCGTTCTCCTTTGAAGCCAACAACAACGACCTGTTCATTTTGTGCAGGAATGTCAGTTATGCCACAGAGTCATAGGGGTACATCCCACTGGGTGCCTTCAAGGTGTGAGGAGGAGGAGCAGGTGGGTGGCGGGAATGTAGGAGGAAGAGGAGCTAAACATGGCAGCCACCCAGAGCTTGGTTTTGAGAGAGTTGAATATGACCACATTCCATAAGGCCCAGAGGGAAGCTAGAATGCAGAGATGTGGCAAGGCCAGGGGAGGTGAGTCGGTGTGGTAGCCAGTGTCAACCAGTGCCACCACAGCGGGGGAGGGCCGGCTCGTAGGCACAGGGGTGTCTAGAAGGTAATTGGCGACTGGCGTCCTGAAGCACACAGTCCAAGATGAACGGTAAGGGTGGTTGCTGTGCCTAGTGTGGACGGGGAGGGGATGGTACGGGCCTCGTTTTTCCTGTCTGTCTACTGTCATCTGCACATGACCGCAAATCACTGAAACATTGGGTATATCTAGTATTTCCACTATGCTGTGTTCACAGGCACTTCCGTACAAAGCTTTTTATGTGTAAATAAGGGGAGACTGTGAGTAATGCTGTTTTACTGAGGTGAAAGGGTCTTGCTTCCTTAACTGTGTTCAGTTGCTGCCATTAGTAGTAAGTAAATGTTTAAAGAAAGAGTACTAAGGACACGAGTGGCACTTTGAGCTCTTGATAAGTGAAATTCTTTGTAGAGCAAACCCTTTGCCCTGGACAGGCCTCCCAGTGTGTGGTCAGGTAACACGACCTGCTCTCTGGGTTCTAGCCCCGGTCATGCCCGCCACAGGAGCAGGACCCTCGCTGCAGACCCTCAGCCCCAAGGGGATACCTCTGCCTCTCTCAGACTACTGTGGAAAATCTAGATCACAAATATTATTGGGAAAGGTGAAAACATTAAAAAAAGATTGTTTTTAATGTTTATTTGTTTTTGAGAGAGAGAGAGAGAGAGAGACAGAACATGAGCGCGGGGAAGCAGAGAGAGGGAGACACAGAATCTGAAACAGGCCCCAGGCTCTGAGCCGTCAGTACAGAGCCCCAAGCAGGGCTCGAGCCCATGGACCTCGAGGTCACAACCTGAGCCAAAGTCAGACGCTTAACCAACTGAGCCACCCAGGCACCCCGGTGAAAACATTTTTTGAACAGTGTTTTTTATCTTAAGCTGAGCAGTATCAGTTATATCGTTATCACATGCTCAGACACCGGACATTTTATGTCTGTATTTAATTAGTATTCTGGGAAATGTTGACCTCTGATACTTGGAAGAGTGACTCATCTGACTTGCCTAAATACATATCCAGGGATGGCATGTCTCACTCCGTGATGTGAAGACACACAGCGTGGCGTGGCAACAGTGGCCTCACGGAGAGGGTAGGGTGGCTCACGAAAGCCCATCACTGTCAGAGCTGGAAGTGAAGCCTCGGTCTGTTGCCATCTGCTCAGTGACTGGCTACGTCTCTTGTCCCCGAGTTCGGGAAGAAGCACTGTTTCTATGCCCACAGCCCCTGGGGGAATGTTCCGGGTGAAAGTCCTGCACACAGGTCTGGAAGTGGGAGTCCAGGGCCTCAGGAAGGGTGCTGTGGAAGGAGGAAGGGCTCATGGCTACCTGTTAACCCAGCGCCCCGTGTGCCTTTGACGGGCTCCTCTCAGTCCTGAGTAGTATTTTTGTCTTGTGCGGCAGATCACGGGCATGACCTGTGCATCCTGTGTTCACAACATAGAGTCCAAACTCACCAGAACGAACGGCATCACCTACGCCTCTGTGGCCCTTGCCACCAGCAAAGCCCACGTGAAGTTTGATCCTGAAATGATTGGTCCGCGGGATATTGTCAAGATTATCGAGGTAAGTTGTTCATTTAAAAACATACAAACTAATGTAGTGTTGTGCATCAACTATACTTCAATTAAAAAAAAAAAAACCTTCCTTTTTCAAAACAGTGATTTATACACACTGTAGGAAAATGAGAAAATATAGCTAACCAAAAAAATTAAAAAGAAAAAAGTCACCTAACCTATCCTTCAGGTTTTCCCATGGAAATAAAGGTGGATCGTTTTAAAATAAACTGTGAAATCAAGTCAACATCAGACAGTCTGAGGGTGAAAATCAGTGAATGGGTAAGAAAAAGGATATTATTGTCTTAATTGCAGATATTCCTGGAGAAACATCAGTATCAGCAGGATACCTGGCACATGGGGTTTAATTACCTAAATATAATTGTGAAGTATTATTTAAGCCTGGACCAAACATCTATAGACCGAAGGATTGTTGGAAATGAGAAGAATTGTACTGCGTTTTACCACTATGTCAGGACTGTTCGTTGATGGGAGAGTTTGGTCGTTTCTCTTTTGGAAAATTACTTAGTGTTCATGCACTCCCTGCCTCTGTTCCCTCCCTCGCTTTGTCCACAGACACCGCCATTTCCTTTTTAAGGCCCGTATTCTACCACACCGTGAGCGGGTGAACATTAGTGCTGAGCTGAATGGGTGAAGATAGTCAAAACTGAACGAGATTAACTCGTAATGACTGATGGTCAGGATAAATGGAGTTCAGCAGGACGTTCTAACGCAGGGAAGCATCTTGTGGCAGGCCTGAAGTTGTCATTCATTTTCTCTTCACTGCGCGCGTGTTTAAGGGAGATGTTGTCTGTTGTGTGGCTTAGCAGAGCTCTTTGATGTGTGTTATTCAGGCTGCTGCCGCTGCTGCTAATAATTCTGTCCTAGAGGCACACAACACAGCTTCTTTATCAGGTGGAGAAAGATCCCCAGAAAGGTTAAGTGACTTTGCTCGCTGGTACCCAGCTAAAGGTTGCAGGACTGGCCCTCAAACCCAGACCTTACAGTTCCAAGCTCAGCGGCCTTTCGAGTTTTGCCACACCACAGGTCTTACAGAACAGCAGTGATGTGGCCCTGATGAGGCCAGGAAGTCAGACTGTTGTGCTCGTAGGCGGGAGAGTCGCAGGTGGTGCTTTGAGCACATGTCAGTCACCCTTCTTACTTACCATGCCCGTCCCGGCCCCCATTCTGCCCGCCGATCTCAGGGCGGTGCCGCCTTTATCCATGTCTGAGGAATATTGCCAATGTCTGGCCTCCGTTCTTGCATCTCTGGTGCATCTTTTCCTAATGTAATTAGGTTGGTATTAGTCGTAAAAGGATTTGTCTTTACACGGTCCTAGATGCTCTTTCTCCACCCAGAACTTTTAATTTTTGTGTGAAATCCCAACATGAGAGTCCGAGGCCCCTCTTTATATTGTGCTGACTCTTGGGACATTTCCTGACAGCTTTTCCTGTGTAATTTCCTAAAGGGGTCAGATCAAATAAGGAAGAGAGGGTCAGGGAGCGAGGCGGTGCAAGAAACGCTGAAAAGAACCAGCAGATTGCGGTACAGTCCCCATCTGGCTTCAGTGGGAGCCGCAGCGTGCAGGTGTTGAGGGAGCCAGGCTCTGCTCAGTGGGAAGGGGCCTGGGCTGGGAGTCCGGAGACCTGAGCACCAAGCACTGGGCCTCGCTCTTCTGACAGCACGATGGCTCTGGGCAGGATCTCTAACCTCTGACCTTCAGTTTCCTCATGCAGGGAATGAGTGACAGCCCCTGACCCCTCCATGTTTGGGGTTCTTCACACAGCAGTTCTGTGTGTCTAATTCAGCATTGATCAGCCTCGGGGCATGCTGAAGTTTCTTCCAGAACCTGCTGCCTTAGCCCACAGAAGGAATAGGAGTCACCGTCTGGGGCCACCTCCTTGGGGATGACACAGTCTGTGAGCATAGATGGTGCTGGACCTCTGACAGGACTTGTAGAATGATTTGGGAACGGAAGTCATGAACGGAAAAACCCATCCAGTCTTTTGAGCGATTTTCGAATGACTTTCTAATTTCAAAAGATGTAAAATGCTTTCTACCAACGCATGTTTTAACCAAGTACCTTCCTCCCTCTTTCTCACTTTTCTTTTTTTAATAACAAGGAAATCGGCTTTCATGCTTCCCCGGCCCAGAGAAATCCCAACGTGCATCACTTGGACCACAAGGCGGAAATAAAGCAGTAGGTAGAACAGAAAAGATTCGCTGCAGCTCTTGTCTAAGGGTCCCCTGCTCCGCCCGCCCCACTGGGCCTGACTGCCTCGTTCTGTGCTTAAGGGTGTCCCTGCCCGCCTGGCTTCCCACAGTGCCGTCCACATGGACTAGCTGCCTTACTACCCTTGTGACATTAACCCTCTAGAGGAGCGCTGTCCCGACAGACCTCCTCGCGATGACAGAAGTATTCTCTACCCTCAGGGCCCAGTCTGGGAGCCACCAGCTGCTGAGCTGTTCATGGGACTAAGGAACTGAGTTTTTAATTTCATTTGATCTTAACTGATTTTAATTTAGATAGCCACTTACAGCTGGTGGCTAACAGACAGGACAGCACTTAAGTTGGGATGGGAGGGAGAGGGTGTGGGTTTTTCCTTTTACAACACAGTATCTTAAGACTTTATTTGAAAGGGTTCTAGAAGTGGGGTCTGAGGGCAGGAAGCATGGTCACTGGAAAGAAAATGGCCTGGGAAGAAGGAGGCCTGAGTTTATTCGTTGATGCAGATGTGCACTTAGTCATTCAGCAAACACACGGGCACTGTTGTATGTAGGGCGCTATGCCTGGTGTTAGGAATGAGTGGGATACTGTCACAGCTGGGCTAGGAAAGAGTGGGTGGATCAGGTGGGTTAAGGGGGTCTGGGAAACCAACTAGCAGGAGACACATGATCTGAGCTTCAAAGAATGAGCGGAACTTTGCCAGGCAGTGGAGGTGGGGGTTGAGGTGAGAGTTCTCAAGGGGCATGGAGGTGACAGTGGGGGTGGCCCTCAGGGACTCCTGTCCTTTGCTCTGGTTGGCATGCCTGGAGGAGGCTAGGACTGAAAGGAGATGCACCTGGAAGGCCAGCGGCCGGGCTAAGTCCAGGGCCCTGGCGGCAGCCTGAGAGTGTAGACTTCAGTGTTGTAGGCCAGGGTCTGTGGGCCAGGGTGGAGACATGTCAGAGCTTCCACAACAGTCGGTGGGAATTGCATGGATGCTGACGCTGACAGGAGACCAGAGCTGTCACTGTGATGTCCATCAAGAATGCTTTACGGTTCTCACTGACTCTTTAATTTGTTTTAATATTTATTATTTTGAGAGAGAGAGAGAGAGAGAGAGAGAGAGAGAGAGAGTATGAGCGGGGGAGGGGCAGAGAGAGTGGGAGTCACAGAATCGGAAGCAGGCTCCAGGCTCTGAGCTGTCAGCACAGAGCCTGATGGCGGGGCTTGAACCCACAGACGGCAAGATCATGACCTGAGCCGAAGACGGACGCTTAACCGACTGAGCCACCCAGGCGCCCCAGTCACTGACTCTATTTTGAAGGTCAAACGTATAAGTATGTTCATAGTAATACAATTTTGCTCTTATCTGCTTTTTACTTGGGAGTCTGTATAAGATTTTATTTTGAAGAAAGAGCAGCAGGCAGCCATGTGGACTGGGATGTTCAACTTCCTGGGTCTAGATTCTCAGTTCTGGGCCTCAGTTGCCTCCCCTAGAGATTAGAGGCAACAGGTCAGCCATGGGCAGGCAGAGGCTGTCTGTATGTCCCTGGAACAGCCCTGAGAAGTGTGAACGTTTAGATATCCTCTCAGGTGGCGGGCGTCAGGGAGAGAACCTTCCCTTCATTTTCGTACCCTTGGCCGTCCGTCCCAGACGTGTGCCAAAGGCAAGTCTTAACCTGAGCCCCCAGGAGGAGACTAGCCCATAACCCAGCTGGCAGGTGACAGCTAATAGGTTGCTGTGCTGCTTTGCTTTGCAGGTGGAAGAAGTCTTTTCTGTGCAGCCTGATGTTTGGCATCCCTGTTATGGGTTTAATGATCTATATGTTGGTGCCCAGCAACGAGCCCCACGAGACAATGGTCCTGGACCACAATATCGTTCCAGGACTGTCCATTCTAAATCTCATCTTCTTTATCCTGTGCACCTTCGTCCAGGTGGGTATCTTCCCTCCCTGCCTCTGTGTGGCCAGCAGATTCTCTGCCCTGTCATGCCAGACACAGCCCATCAGCTTGGCTTAGGCGGCATTTTATCACAGCTTTCCTGCAGGGGCTGCTGTTTTCCTTTAGGACCTGCGGGGGGCACTGAAAGGACCTGGTTTCGCTGTCACTTTCACAGTGGTTGTAGGTGGTTGTAAGGTGTTGGTGACGCGGTGTGTCCCGTATTTGTTTATTGTTTAGTTTGCACTGCCTTTGTTGTCAAAAGCAGTGGCTCATGCCCCGAATGACAGGGCTGTGGTTCTGAGGAAATTATAATTTATTAAAAAATTGTTTTTAACGTTTATTTATTTTTGAGAGACAGAGACAGAGCATGAGCAGGGGAGGGGCACAGAGAGAGGGAGACGCAGAATCCAAAGCAGGCTCCGGGCTCCGAGCTGTCAGCAGAGAGCCCGACACGGGGCTCGAACCCACGAGCCGTGAGATCGTGACCTGGGCCAAAGTTGGACGCTTAACTGAATGAGCCACCCAGGTGCCCCCTGAGGAAATTATAATTTAGAAGAGATGGGCCTGCTGGAGCTTCTACTCTAGGGACGATATTTAGGAGCTGGCTGTTTCTGGTGGGAAGTGTGCCCTCCCATCTGTTTTAGAATAAAAAATAAAACTCCTGAGGTAACGTGAAAATGTGTCTGGTTTAAGACTGAGTGTAATTATTTGTCAGCTGAATTTGCTTTTCTCTGTATTTTCTTTTTAATTATAAATGTAATATATATTTATTGTAGATAATCCAAACCAATCTGAGGTAGGAGAAGCAAAGGGGAAGATATTCTTTTGCTAGAATCGTACCCTGCCTCCAGCCCAATCCTGTTCCCCAGGGTTACCTTAGTATTATTACTGGTTGGGCGTGCGTGTATACAGATCTTCATCTATGTAGAAAAAATACTCATTTTCACGTATATGTATGTGTGTACATGTTCACATAATATAGACACACGGACTTTGTTTTTTTTTTTAATTTTTTTTTAAATGTTTGTTTATTTTTGAGACAGAGACAGAGCATGAACGGGGTAGGGTCAGAGAGAGAGGGAGACACAGAATCTGAAACAGGCTCCAGGCTCCGAGCTGTCAGCACAGAGCCTGATGTGGGGCTCGAACTCACGGACCGCAAGATCATGACCTGAGCCGAAGTCGGACGCTTAACTGACTGAGCCACCCAGGCACCCTGGGACTTTGTATTTTTTAACGGAAATAGGATCATACTAGATAAACTGATTTATAACTGGCTTTTTCACTTAACCATGTCTCATGGGCATCTTTCAGGTGAGTGGTTTATAGACCTAGCACACATTCTCTTTTGGGACTGCATAGCACTATCCATGTTATAAATGAACCATGATTGATGTCACCATTGCCACCATTCTCTGCTGATGGACATTCAGGTCATGTGCTGTGGGTTTGAAAGGTCCCCCATGACCTTGACCCTCCGTTCCTGTGGCCAGTAGTCTTATGAATCAGGAAATACTTTTCCTACATGTCACTCACAGAGTAGAAAGTAATGTCTAAGCATTTGCAGCCCTGAGGGGCCTCCGGGTCTCTGGTTGCTCCTTGGACTGGATGCCTGCTCATGCACTGTTGCTGTCCTCTGTCTTTCAGCTCCTTGGCGGGTGGTACTTCTACATCCAGGCCTACAGATCTCTGCGGCACGGGGCGGCCAACATGGACGTGCTCATCGTGCTGGCCACGAGCATCGCCTATACCTACTCAGTCATCATCCTGGTGGTGGCCGTGGCTGAGAAGGCGGAGAGAAGCCCCGTGACCTTCTTTGACACCCCCCCCATGCTCTTTGTGTTCATTGCCCTGGGCCGGTGGCTGGAACACGTGGCGAAGGTAACTGCAGCTCCGGGTGAAAAAAAGGAACTGTGTCTTCAGTAATATAAGTCTTAATTCATGTGAACGCCTTGTTTAGAATTACTAATTATACACAGTCTGGCAAAAGACTTAAAGAAATGTGAAACCGACATATAATTAGGTGTTCTGATCGCTAATCTCCAAACTGATTGCTACTTCTGAAATCCCAGCTAATCTGGTTAATTACTGAAACCTTTATTCAGGCGCATTGTGTAATGAAAAGAACTCCGGATTTCAGGCCCGCACGTATACTGCCTCTTTGTACATAACTGAGTATTTGGCTCATGAGTCTAGAAATCCATGTTTCTATCTTACGGTCAGGCCATTTTTAACACCCTGCATTTTAATGTATTCTATAAAAGAGTAGGACTGAGACCCTAAAAGAAATTAAATTGAACCTTAAAAAAAAAAAAAAAAGAGGCAGTTAGTAGGCAGACTGGTCCTGTCTTTTCAGCTGGAATGTAACTCATAGAACTTGGTGGTATTGTACCTTCAGTGTGGAGATGACTGCAGTGAGTAACATCCATCCTGGAGGAGCCTTTTGATGTGCACTGTGTCTGTGTTATGAGGGGTCGGCCTCTTTCCGCAGGGGTTTTCTCTGATACCCGCCTGGTAAGCATTGGTGTGGGTTTGCACCGGTCAGCTTATGATAGCTTGTTTTCCATTCTGGCCGTTTCCTAGAGCAAAACCTCAGAAGCCCTTGCCAAACTCATGTCTCTCCAAGCCACAGAAGCCACCGTTGTGACCCTTGGTGAGGACAACTTGATCATCAGGTGGGTTGTCTTCATCCAGAGTTTTCGACCAATGTATATCAGACTGTGTAAGACACCTGAGACACCCATTGTGTTCATGACCTTACACTGGACATTGTGGGGGCCAGCAAAGACTTGTGTGGCCAGGTCCATCCTGTTGATCCAGGTAATTAATAAGGCGTTTACAGATTACAAGATCCACAAGAATTCAAGGTGGTGTGGTTTGCTGAATGACAAATGAGAGGTATAGGTGATTCATGTTTCTGCAGTTGAGAAGAGGAAGGCTAGGGGTGGTCAGGGAAAGCTTCACAGAGCACGGAGCACCGTCCACACGTTGGGCCTTCCTTGCAAGACCTGAGGATTTACAAGGCTGAGGGATGAGGTTCAACTTGCCAAGGAATACAGATGGGAGAAGTATTTTTCTTCTTCATATAGTTAGCAGATACTAAAAGTAATATGGTGGTTATTATTATTGTTGGAACTTATATAGCATTTATTGTCTGTCAGACACTTTTAACCTCTTTGTATTACATCTAAATTAAAAAAAAAAAAACTGTAGGAGGAGGGGACTATTATTACCTTTATTTTGCAGATGAGGAAAGTGAAGTTCAAAAAGGCTAAGCAAGTGGCCTGAAGTCACACAGGTATTCAGTAGTGGAATTGAGTTATAACCCAAGCTCTTGGTTCCACAGCCCATATTCTTAACCCTTACACATACTGGCTTTTAAGGCATATTTGCTTATTTTTTTTTATTTTTTTATGTTTTCTTATTTTAGAGAGAGAAAGAACATGAGTGGGGGAAGGGCAGAGAGAGAAGGAGATAGAATCCAAAGCAGGCTCCAGGCTCTGAGCTGTCAGCACAGAGCCCGACGTGGAGCTCGAACTCACGAACCGTGAGATCATGACCTGAGCCGAAGCCAGATGCTTAATTGACTGAGCCACCTAGGCACTCCAACGCATATTTAATAATACAGGCATTTTCACGAATTCAGGCTTCTGTATTTCCCTGGTCAGCCTCGTTTTCATATTCTAGGCAGTGCTTATTTCAGACCTTCACATTCCTGAATTCTCTCTCCAGCCCCACCACTCTCCCCTTTGGACTGTGATCTCGCTCTGACTCCGGGGTGGGAAATGCATCAGTTTCCTGTCACTCAGCCTACAAAGCTAGCCTTCCCTCTGTACGCTCCCTTCCTCTCCTTCTGGGCCTCTGCTCAGGAACGTCCCTCTGTCAGTGTCTCATTGCTCTTCAGTGTGTCTGTCTTTGCTGCTTCTTACCATCCAGCATGACTTACAGTCCAAACTCCTGTTGTCGAAGCAGCCCTGTGCCCCACCCCAATGGTACTGCCCGTTCTGCACGCTGTGGCCAGTGTGGGTTCGTGAGTGTGTGCCCCAGAATGGCCGTCGGAGGCTGAGACAGGCCCTCCTCCGTTGCTTCCCGAGGGGGTACTCGGCGAGCCTGTGCCGAAAACATGAATCAGAGAATGAGGCACCGGCCGACCACGGCCTGGAAGCACTGGTTTTTGCCCTGATGCTGGTTTTTGAATATGAGTCAGAGTTACAGTAACGATAGTTGAGATTTGAGAACTTACAGGATACCATTCCCAGTAGCGACCAGTAGGTTAACCTGCCTGATTTAACCCGATCACTCCCCTGGGGGGGTGGGTGCTCCCACGGCCCCATTTCTTTAGGAAGAACCCGAAGCCCAGTGGGGTGGCGTGACTTGCCCAGAGTCCTTGGCGGGCGGGTGAGTGGCAGAGCTGGGACAGGCGCCCTCTCGGCCACCGGCTCACCTGTCTTGCAGGTGGGTGGACACTGTGTGACAGCAGCTGGCACGTGGGGGCTCCACGCACTCGACTGTCGTGGCTCCACAGCGGTTGCACACCTTGGCTTCTTTTTCTCACAAATTAATGACCTGAGAGTCTCTGAGATGCGGGAATGTTCCGGCTGGGAACAAAGCCATGGACCGGCCGCTTTTACTGGCCGCCTTTCATTTTGAGGTGCTCCTGAAGGCACTGGCTGCAGATACAGGGACTCCTGCCTTGATTTGAGTATGAGGAGACATGCGTCTCTGCCAGGAGACAGAAGCTACCTGAAATGGCCCAAGGATGCTGGGGCTCCCCCCGTCACAGCTCCGTGTTTTTCCAGAGATGGTGATTAGTATTTGCTTGTGGACACCCCGTGGGCCCTTCTACTGCCATCATCACTGTGGTGGTGCCGTTTTCAAAGCCAGAGCTCCTTCTGGCTTTGCCGCAGACGAGCTGTGTGCTGGGAGAGCGTCAGTCAAGGCCTGTGAGGCACGATTCCCGTCTGAAAATAGGGTGCTTGTTCCCTCCCCCCACCTTCCTGAAAGGGTGCTTCAGGCCACTGGGAGGTGACGGTCCCCTGGCCACACACTGCCCTCCCGAGGCATTGACTTTCTGTGTAACATGAGGCCTACCAGTGCTGTGACCCCCGAGTCGGCCTCTGCCTTCTGCGGGGTCTTGCCACGTCCGGGCCTCGGCCGGTGGGGACGTGTCTGTGGTGCCTGTTTTCACCACGCCTGCTCAGGCCACCGCTCTGTCCCCTACAGCACTGCAGCAGGGTCTTCATTGGCCCCCTGCTTCCAGCCAAGGCTCTTTCTAACTCTTTTCCCACATTCAATCCAGTGGTCTCTTGGACACCCGGATCTGACTGCATTCCTCTGTAGCGCTTCCCTGCTGTCCTTAGGGTGAAGTCTGTGAGTGCACACGTGAGACTTTGGCGTCCGCCGGTGTCCCCAGTGGACCCAGCCCCTTGTGCCGCCGTCCCTCCACCTCGTTTTGACCACACCCCACTGGCAGCTCCCAGAAAGGGGCTCTCAGGTCTCCCCCAACACCTTTCTTCTTCCCCTTCACCTGTCGTCTTGTCCTTCAGGGCTCGGCTTGGGGGTCACATCCTCAAGAAGCCTTTCCTGTCCCCTGGCCCGCTTGGCTGTCACTCCTCTGTGTACTCCATGTCTCCACTCACCCTGGGACACCCATGTGGCAGGTGCTCAGATACTCATTGAGTGAATGAAGTGACTGTGAAATTACACCGTGGTTGTGCTTGACCTTAAAAGGTCCACACAGCCTGGTCCCTAGGCTCCTGCATTGAAGGCTCCTGTTAGAGTGGGGAAAACAGAGTTACAAATCTTACCTAGGTTTGTGTCTGTTCTCTTCTAAGTTTTTCTTTGTCTTTTTACTTTGTGTTAGATGAGGAAGGAGAGGAGAGAGGAGACAGGTGAGGTAGATAGACTGCTGGCAGAAACTCTTAAAGCGGAAGAAATGCTAGGGAAAACACCGCCTTTCCATTAAATGTATTCCCACAGGGTGGTGTTTTGGGGGGACACAAGCTTCTGAAGAAGAAACGCTGGGAACTCGCTGGAAGGAGCCACCTTGACTCCCAGAAAGTGCTGTTCACCTTAAATCAAGCTGTTTAGGCTTAGAAAGATGTGGTCAATTCAGATCAAAGGGGCAAGTCACAGATTAAGCGAACCTTCCAAAGCTTGGTAGTTAGGTTACGCTGGGGGAGAAGGTTCTGCTGTCAGCTCCCGACGCCCCTTCGCTAGTGAGCAGGTGCTCCTTCTCCTGACGCAGGCCTCGGAGGAGATCTTGTGTGATGAGAAACTCCTCCGGGTTGTGTGGACGGGCCTCAGAAGGGCAGGGCCTGGGCGTCTCCCATCACTGGAAGATTTGAAGAAGCAGCAGAGAACATTCTCAGATTATGGAGAAGTCTCCTCTTCTTGTTTGCCACCCTGCCTGCCCAGCCACCAAACAGATTTCTGCACATCTACTCCCAGCACTTGAGACTTCAGGGTGCCACTCCCTGTCCTTTTTTAAAAATTTTTTTTAAAGCTTTTTTTTTTTTTAATTTTTTTTTTTTTTTTAACGTTTACTTATTTTTGAGACAGAGAGAGACAGAACATGAACAGGGGAGGGTCAGAGAGAGGGAGACACAAAATCCGAAACGGGCTCCAGGCTCTGAGCTGTCAGCACAGAGCCCGACGCGGGGCTGGAACTCACGGACCGCGAGATCATGACCTGAGCCGAAGTCGGCCGCTTAACCGACTGAGCCACCCAGGCGCCCCCACTCCCTGTCCTTTTAAAGGGCCCTTCTTGGGGCGCCTGGGTGGCGCAGTCGGTTAAGCGTCCGACTTCAGCCAGGTCACGATCTCACGGTCCGTGAGTTCGAGCCCCGCGTCGGGCTCTGGGCTGATGGCTCAGAGCCTGGAGCCCGTTTCCGATTCTGTGTCTCCCTCTCTCTCTGCCCCTCCCCCGTTCATGCTCTGTCTCTCTCTGTCCCAAAAATAAATAAACGTTGAAAAAAAAAAATTTAAAGGGCCCTTCTTTTCCTGCTCCATTGATTGTATTGTGGCCATTATTGAACTTACATACTCGGATCTGCTTGTAGCTTCTGGGCAGAAAACCTCCTGAGAGGAAGGCTCGCTTTGTCCTGTTCGTACCCAAGCCCAGCACGGTGCCTGCTGTGCAGAGGCCTGTCAATAGTGAAAATGTCCATTAGGTGATATAATAGAAGTCACCAGCATTCACTGGGCACTCACTGTATGTCAGGCACTGTGCTCAGTCCTTAACATGCATCATCTCAGTTAATCCTGGAACAAAATTGCCATTGTTGAATGGAGGACACTGTGGCTTTGTACCAGGACTTGACCCGGATGGCACCACTGCCCTGTGACTCACCAGGGCCCTCACAAGGACTCTGAACTCCCAGGGTCAGGGCCGTGTCTTCTTTTGCTCACCACTGCGTCAGTGGCACATGTGGCACTTGGTCTGGGGACACTAAACGCTTACTGCATCCGTATGCTCCTGGGGGGGGGCAGCGTGCGCTCACAGCCTTGCAGGGAGGCGGTGGCATGGAGCATGGCGGCAGCACCAGACCTTTGGGGACAGACGGACAGACAGACTCTTGAATCCTCGTTATGCAGACGGTCCTCCTGCACAGTTTTTAAAAAAGAAAGTTTTGATGTCAATACTTAACATCTCTGCACACTTTGGCTCTGCGGTTTTATACGCTTACACATAGCAACGTTGAAAGAAATGGGCATGTAGGTTCAATTCTGTGCCTTCCTAAGAAATCTTCAGGTTTTTGCTCAAATGGGAGTGAATATCACTTACCTCATATACTTTTGGGAAGATTCAATGAGAAAATAAACAAGTAAAAATCTAGCACAGGACGTGCACTCAGTAAATGTCCATTTTACCTTCTCACATTGATAAGGCAGCTTGTTGTACATCCTTCTCTCTGATACTTGCAATAGTAGTACTTACAGAATGAAAGAAGTGTGTAAAATAACCCCGGAGCCTGCTTAGTTGACTTTGTCAGCATTTGATCACGAGGCACGGTTCTCAACAGTCGACCCTTGAGCAGCAGTGGGGGTTTGGAGTGCTGATCCAGTGCAGAGTCGAAAATCCGAGTATAACTTTTGACTCCCCCGAAACGAATCAGCTACTTTGACTAGAAGCCTTACCGATAACATAAACAGTCAGTGAACACTTACTTTGCAGGTTGTTATATACTCTATTCCTATAATAAAGTAAGCTAGAGAAAAGAAAATGTCAAGAAAATCAGGAGGAAGAGAAAATCTGTTTACAGTACTCTGTTGTATTTATTGAAAAACCGCGTATATGTGGACCCACGTGGTTCAAACCCGTGCTGTGCACAGTGATGTGTTATGTGGCCCCTGGGTGGTTCTCCAGCAGCCTCCCTTCGCTCTGTCCTTCCCTCCTCTCCCCCACCATGTGTCTCTGTGTGTCTGGGGACCAACATCCACTCCACACACACACCTACGACTCACTCGCGCCTGTCTGACTCCACTCTCTCTTCTGCAAAACTTCCTGTGAGAGTTTCTTGAGCCGCGGCCTGTCTCCTCGCTTCGCGCGCTCTCCTCTGCCCATCCCGCTGGGCTGCTGCCTCCATCGGTTGCTGAAATTGCTTTTCCTTCACACATCAATTCATTTCCATTGCCCCGACCCAGCCATTGCTGATTTTAATGCCTCTCCACCAGCATTGCCCCTGCCCCCCAGTGTCTCCATTTGAAACTTGTTGTTGGTTTTCTTTTTTATGAAAGTGTGACTTACCTTCACGGAAGTAGGCAGATCTTAAGTGCAGAGTATGATGAAGTTTGCCCGTATCGCGTCTGGGTAGTGACGCCTGCTGTGGCTGAGGCTAGGATGTCTGCTCCCGCAGTCTGCCACCCCCACTGGCCCGTCTGCCTCCCTGCCGCTCTGGCTGGCCCTCCCACCTGTTCAGCCTCCAGTGTGGCACCGGCACCAGGGCTTGGATCTAGAACTCCCTCTCTTTTCCACTTATGCTCCCAGGTGACCTTGCACCATTTCAGGGCTGCAGGTACCATGTGTTTTGACAACTCCGGGATTTGTACCTCTAGCTCTGCCCTCTTCTCTCAGCTCCAGTCATGTTTTCTGCTCCCTACTTGACTCAGATAGGCATCCCAGACCCGACATGTCAAAATGAAGGTCTTTATTTCATCTCTTCTCTTCTGTCTCTGTCCTTCAGTGGCTTCTGCACACTTGTCTCCATCTCAGTAACTGAGAATTTCGAGCTCCTCTTTGCTTCTTTTCTTTACTCATTTAGCATATCTGCATGCCCTGGAAATATCCTGGGTGTTCACGCCATCTCTGGCCCACGCCACTGCCATCTTTTGCTTGCCCACCTCTTCTCCCAGCCTCTATTATTGTCCCTGCCACCCCGTGTTCATGCAGCAGCCAGAGCGATGACTTGAAAATGTGAATCAAATTATGTCACTTTCCAGTAAAACTCTTAACATTGGAAGCCCGTACTCTGTTCTGCAAGACTCAACGGGATCTGGACTCTGCCTGCTTCACTTCCTGTTTTTCAAAGGCACCCTTCCTTCCTGCCTTAGGGCCTTCGCATTAGCAGAGTTTTCCCCCTTGAACTTTCTTTCCCCTGTGTGTTGGCCCTTCTTGTCTTCCAGGTCACAGCATGTCTTCCAAGTGAACCCCCCCCCACCAAAAAAAAAAGAAAGCCCTTGAGTCACATTATTTGCATCATAACACTTATTTAATACCTCGGACTATCCTGTTCATTGTCTGTTTTTTCCGCAGAATTGGTCTTCATGAGGGTAGGGACTTTGCTGTCCTGTTCACAGCTGTATTTCCAGTGTCTAGTACAGCACCTGTCACTTAGCTGTGCACTAAATATTGACTCAATCTGTAAATGAACAGATAAAATGAATACTGCCACTCAGTGTAAAAGCCAAGAGTGTAACCAGTCCAACACGTTGTCTAGAACCTGACCCGGGTGGCAGACCAGCAGGGGTGAGCTCCAGTTAATTGCTGTGTGCGTAACTTGAGTGGCATTTGTTTCAGAGAGGAGCAAGTACCCATGGAGCTGGTGCAGCGGGGCGACGTCATCAAGGTCGTCCCCGGCGGAAAGTTCCCGGTGGATGGGAAAGTCCTGGAAGGCAGTACCATGGCTGACGAGTCCCTCATCACAGGTTAGGTGGCTTGTTTCATGTTCCCTTTGGGTGGGTATCACAGCACCTGCCAGGTCACATGAGTGCTGAGTGGGGCTGAATGCATGATGGTTGGTCTCTTCCCCTCTAGGAGAAGCCATGCCTGTTACTAAGAAACCCGGAAGCACAGTGATTGCTGGGTCTATAAACGCACATGGCTCTGTGCTCATTAACGCCACCCACGTGGGCAATGACACCACTTTGGCTCAGATTGTGAAATTAGTAGAAGAGGCTCAGATGTCAAAGGTAATGAAGAAATTTAAAAAAATAACACAACTTCAGCTTCCTCATTTTAGGAATGACTCCAAGAGCTTCGTAAAATCAGGCAGATTTTGCGGAGTAGAGATTGATTAGTAGGTGTAGTTAACGAGGGGGCTCGGAACCCCAGTTCTTGCTCATGCTTGTGGTGTTTTATTTCTTTGTGGATTGTAATTTCCCCTGGTCTTGGTGTTTTGTTTTCATAGGCACCCATTCAGCAACTGGCTGACCGGTTTAGTGGATATTTTGTCCCATTTATCATCATCATTTCAACGTTGACGTTGGTGGTATGGATTATAATCGGTTTTATCGATTTTGGTGTTGTTCAGAAATACTTTCCTGTAAGTTGAATGCTTTGGGCAGTATGGTTGCTGTGTTTTAAATAACCTCTTGCCATTAATCCTATTCTCTCATGTCTTAGATTCATTGGGCTTTAATTACCCATTACATTTATTTGCTTGTTTTGCTTACTTAAGGCAGCAAAGTCTTAGCCAGGATAGGATGATCAGTCACTCTGTTCCTGCAGGTTTTTTTTAAAGATCCTCTTGGCTCTTTAGTTAGATGATTATACAGATACCAGTTGGCTCTCGGTTGTAATGCTTGAAACATTTACATTATGTGATCTTGGCCATTTCTGGGGTTATAAGGCACATATCGTAGGTCACTTCACAATTTTGATGGCATGATAACATTACTTAACAGATGTTAAGAAAAATGTTTTTTGCTGTCTATGTCCATCAATACCATCCTCAACCTCACAGCTTCCCAAGCAACGCTAAAGCTTCTTAATAACTAAATATTTATTAAACATAACATGAGACCATGGAATATACTTTCTCGAGTTAAAAAGTGATTAAAGAATATGATCTTAGGAACTACAGTTTTATCAAACTTCCAAAAAGGGTGTAAAATACAAAAAAAGCTTTTCTGCCTGAGAAATAGGAACTGTGGTGATTCTCAGTTGGGAGTAATTTTGTTGCCCCCAGAGACATCTGGCAATGTCTGGAGACGTTTTTGGTTGTCCTGACCGGGGAGGGAATACTACTGACATCTAGTGGGTAGAGACCAGGGATGCTGCCAGATGGCCTACCACACAGAGCACAGCCCCCCACAACAAAGAATTATGTGACCCCAAATGTCAGTAGTGCTGAGACTGAGAAACCTTGATGTACATCAACAGTGAATGGCCCACATGGTGTAGTATTTGATAACTGCCCAGTGAGTGGAACAGTGTTTTATATTCAGCCAAGTCTAATGCGTATTTTACCTTAGGGCCATAATATAAGAAACATGGACCAGAGCATTTTTTTCTTAAAAAAAAAAATACCCATAATTAAAAGCACACCTTACATTCTCAGGGTGCATGTCATATACAAAGATGTCACTTTCTGTCTCCAGTTTCCTATCTTAAAATGAAAAATGTCCATGTTAAACTCTTCCTGACATCTTAAGGAGACCTCAGTGCTTTTAAGAGTAACCTGGGACTGTATTCCTAGAATTTGCCTGGGGCTATTATGGCACCTGACTGCCCCCAAATGTCCACTTTTGCGGGAGAGCAGCTCCTTGGCACGTGGCTGTGGGAAAAGTCATTCCCAAACAAGTTGGAATATGTGACTTTCTGCTGGTCTCTGCCTTTCCATCTTACGTTGGCTTCTTTTGTTTTTATCCGCAATATCAGGGAGGATGCTGGCACATGAGGTACTGCATGTTCCTTTAAGATACTGTCACCCTGCTGTGTGATGTCACTTGTAGGGAGACGTTCATGTCACCTTGTAGAAGTCCACCCAGTCCCGTCAGAGTGTCCGGTGTTATTTTAACGAGAATTACTGTGTTTTTTTTTTTTAATCATATCATCTTTATCTCTAAAAACCACAATTATGTCTTAAATACTGCGTCCTTCTATCTAAATGCAACTGTTTCTAATCAAAGTGAAATGACTCTTTAATAATGCACCTTATTTTAGGATTCTGCCTTTCAAAATCAAGGAATAAAGTATAGATGAACGCTAAAGAGATTGTGCTCTGTATCCTTGATTTAGAAAACATACTATAATTAAAGTGAATATGATGTCTCCTGATTGTACCTCAGAGACAGCTGCCATTTTGAAAAATAAACCAAGATAAATCACGATGTCAGAATGCAAAGAGTAACAACCTTGTGGGTCGCTAGGTAACTGGAAAAGAGACCCATATTTTTTTGTTTGGAGTTTACCAAGAAAACAGTAGTGAAAAAAATAGAAGAAAATAAAGGTGGCTCCAAATCCCGTCCCTAGGAGTAACAGTTTTTTGCACTTTGGTGAACATCCTTCCAGTATTGTTGAAGGACTATGTAGAGATATGGGCAGATAATTTCACACTAATTCAGTCACAACACATGCCATTTTGTGGTTGCTTTTTTTATCCAGCAGTGTTACTGATGTCTTTCCATGTCAGCAAGGATAGATACACATCATGATTTCAACAATTGCATAATATTCCATTATGTACATCATACCCACAATTATTTTTTTCATACCCACAATTTAATTCATTCCCTATGGGTTGTCTCTAGTTTTTTGCCATTATAAAAAACGCTGTGATAAGTATCTTTGTATCTTTAGCCACTTGTTTGATTATCATCTTAGGGTAGATTCCTTAGAGATCTATGATTTTTTAAAGTTTTCATAAGAATGATAAAAATAACATGTAATATTGTTACTATGTAATACGGAAAGTGTAATAGTTACAATTTTTAGGTGCCTTTCTTCTGCTAGATATTGTACAATGCACATTTATATGTTTATATATATATATATATATATATATATATATATATATATAATCTCATTTAACCCTTATAACAACCAGCTGGGCATTACTGGTATTATTGTCTCCGTTTTGTATGTGAGGGAGCTGAGACCCAGAGAAGTCAAATTAGTGTCAGGGCCAGGAAATGGATATACCTAGTCCGATTCTAGAGTCCATGCTCCTTCCTCCAGCAGAGTTTCATATACCTCTCATCATGCCTCTCTCAGAGGAAAGCCTGTGGGATCAGGTTGGAAAACCGGGCTGGGGAACAGTGAATGAACCATGTGATAACACAACACTGAGGCAGAGTGGAACGCACCATGTTTCCCAAACCCCCGCTCGTCACACAGGCTCAGGTCCCCCTGCCTGCCTTGAAATGTTCTCATGTGATTAGGAGTCTGTGGGATCCCTCATCTAACCCTCAGCCTGCCTGTATCTGTTTCCTCTTTTCAGACCCCCAACAAGCACATCTCCCAGACAGAGGTGATCATCCGGTTTGCGTTCCAGACATCCATCACGGTGCTCTGCATTGCGTGCCCCTGCTCGCTGGGCTTGGCCACACCCACGGCGGTCATGGTGGGCACCGGGGTGGCCGCCCAGAATGGCATCCTCATCAAGGGAGGCAAGCCTCTGGAAATGGCCCACAAGGTTGGCCTTGCTCTCCTGCCTGTCCTTTGGGGTCTTGGCTGGAATGACTTTGTAGCTGTTGCTGTGTGATTTTTTTTTTTTTAAACTTAGTCCTCGTGAAAATGCTATCTGTTTAAATTCTGTATTAAGAGGACAACCTGGAAGAGGCTCGAGGGCACTCCGTTAATTAAATAAAACAGAAAGCCAGGACTGACTGGGAATGATAGCAACAACAGCTAAGAGTTGTAAGATTAAATACAAATTGATTTCGTCCCATTAACAACTCTTTGAGGTGGGTGCTTATTATTACCGTTTTGCAGATGAGGAAGCTACAGCGGGAGGAGGTGAGGCAATTTGCCCAAAGGCCTACAGCTTTGGCAGAGCTGGGACTCACACCCGGGGAGCCAGGCTCAGACAGTACTGGAGCACAAACATGTGATTAGCAGAGGGATCCTCACTCCCGGGAGTGGAATAGTCAGCAACCGTGTTTATGAAGAATCTTTCTTCGGCCCAACATGCCCATCCCTAACCTTCCGCCCCTCCGTTTATTTACGTTTGTTGAGCATTTACTTTGTGTGTGTGGGTCCTGTCCTAGGCCCTGGCAATGGCCATGGGCCTCTGCTGTGAGGGAGCTCACACGTTAGTGGGAGAGGCAGGTGTGGAGTATGCAGACCACAAATCCGTGAGAGCGTGTGAGGCTGGCAGGGTGGTTTAGCAGGGACCTAACCTTCACTTGTGTGTGTCGGCCTGGGGGTGAGTGGGTGCAGAAGCAGGAAAGGAAGTACAGGGGGTCCACCTGGGACCAACCAGTAGAGCCAGAGTGAGCCAGACAGCGGAGGTTGGGAAGGATGTTCTGGCAGTGGAACAGCCTGGGGAGGCTGTACTGTCCTATCATAGGCTCCATAAGATCAGGGACTGGGAACTCTTTTCTCACCGTTGTGTCCCCAGCATCTTGCCCAGGGTCCGGCACATCGGAAGCACTCAGCGGTTACTTGCTGAATAAGTAATGAGGGACCAGAAGGAAATGAGAGAGAGAGAGAGAGAGACTGACAGGAGAAGAGGCTGCTGAGGGAGAAAGTCAGGGAAGGCAGGGCCTGGGAGTTTCTGTCAACTCCAGATTGGATCCGGAACTTAACCCCAAGAACAACAAGGGGCCATGGAGGGGTCTGAAGCCCCGCAGGATGGAACTGGGTTACTTGTTGGGAAGACCGCTGTGCCTGCAGAGTGGAGGGAGGGACGAAAGGCGGCAAGAATTGTTGGAGGAAGAGCAGTTACGTGCGTTGCTGAGGCTGGCGCTCGGCATCAGAAACAAAGAGCTGAGTGTTGTTTGCTAAGTGAGGGAGAGCCGGGCCTGTGGGGCAGTCTGGGCACGGCGAGCAGCTGGCCTTCGACAGGGCCTGGGGCCTGGGGGAGTGTGGAGTTCAGGGGTCGCTGGGCTGTGGCCGTGGACACAGGGACCGACCAGCGGAGCCCAGACCCGTGGGGACCACGGACCCAGTGGGACAGGCGGAGAAAGTGGCTCCGGTGGTTGGTTACATGGCCAGGGGCACCGCCTTCCCCTCCCTCCAGCTGCAGTGTGAGCGCCTTATTCTCAGGCGGCCGCAGAGACACTGCAGGGCGCTGACACGGACAGATGTGCGTGGTGGCATTGCCCAGAAGACGGTGCCATGCCATCTCCTGTCACACCGGAGTGACAGTTTCTGGCTCGACCTGGCAAGGGTTAAGTCACAGCGCGGATTGTTCCAGCTGGACTGAGAGGGAGACAGTGTCTTTGTCGCGGGAATGCGTGAACCCGGGATTGATCGTGGAGGATTGAGTTAATGGAGTCATGAAGGGATGTTACTCACTCGAGCTTAGTTGAGTGGAGTTCTGCCTCAAGGTTGTGTGGACTCTTCAAGTCCCTTCCATCTGTATACGTGATCACCAAGGTGTGGTTGTTTTGGCAGATAAAGACTGTGATGTTTGACAAAACTGGCACCATTACCCACGGGGTCCCCAAGGTCATGAGGGTCCTCCTGCTCGTGGATGTGGCCACGCTGCCCCTCAGGAAGGTTCTTGCTGTGGTGGGGACTGCGGAGGCCAGCAGCGAGCACCCCCTGGGTGTGGCAGTCACCAAGTACTGTAAAGAGGTATGTCGACCTGGGCATTGCTCACCCCGCCCCGCGCCCTCCCCCCCCTCCACCTCCCCTGCTGTCACCGGCTGGGCTGGAAGCCTCCAAGCGCCTTCCTCCTCACAGGCCTTTCTCCTTGGCCTCTGTAACCGGCGTCAGCTGCCTTCCGGGAGGCCTTGGCTTGTGGGGTCCGGAAACCCCTCAGCAGCCCCTGCGGAGCAACAGGTTAGAGATAGGGCTCACAGCGCTGGGTCCCTCATCCCGTTGCCAGATTATTACAAAAGCAGTTCAGCGTTAACACTCATTTACTGAGATCGTACCGAGCTTCTGTGCTCTGGGAGCTGGTGGTCGGGTGGGAAGGACAGATGGTGGAACAGTTCGGTCCCTTACGAGCACTTAGTGCAAGAGGGATACGAAACCAAATGAGGGGTCGGGGTGAGGCAAGGAGGGAGCCCTCAACTGGGGATGGGGAAACGGAGAGGAACCAGCAGCAGTGAGCGAAACGCCCCGTGGGTTCTTGGCAGTTAATGGGGAAGCGGTCATCCTTCGACCTCTCCAGAGGAAAGGCCTGTGTAGTTTTCCGTTTTCAGTCTAAACGTAGAGGCAGCGGGATGTGCCGGAATATTGCCCCGAAAAATTTTAAACGGTCTGGGCGAATAGGATTATGTGAATGTAGAAAGGTGGTGTGGATGCCTGGGGGAAAAGTGGACAGCTCCACCTGGACAGGGACTCTTCCAGAAATCTCCTTTGGCATTTTGTGTAGGGTCCTTCGGACCACCATGTCCCCTCTCTCCTGATGTTTCAGGATGAGCTGTGCTCTCTCAGCCCTCCTCTGCTGTGTAGTTAACCCAGATGAAACAGCTCCTCAGTCCTTTCTCCTGCCACTGTCCTCGTCCCCCAGGGTCTGTAAAGGGGTGGTTACCCTGTTGCTGGGCTCAGAGCGGCTCTGTTACCATTTCCCCATTCCATCGCTTTCATGAAATGATTTGCAACATAAAAATAATCTTTCCTCTTTTTGCTCTCCCACCTCCTTTAATCTGAGGCATTTGCTGTGAACTGCTCTTCTCCTTTCAGTCTGCCCTTTGTCCAGTATCATGAGGCATCAGTTTAATAATCATAGTGTCGGTGTCGGATAAGAGAAGGGATTGCAGAGTTGCTAGTCCGTCTCCTCCCCTTCCTGGTCCTGCTTACCCCTCAGTTCTGGCTGGTGCTGTGCCTTCCTGCCCCGCTCCCGGGTCTGTCCTCCCTCCTACTCACCTCCCCTCCCTCCCTGCCTCCACAGGAGCTGGGAACAGAGACCTTGGGGTACTGCACAGACTTCCAGGCGGTGCCAGGCTGCGGAATTGGCTGTAAAGTCAGCAACGTGGAGGGCATCCTGGCCCACGGCAAGCGCCAGTGGAGCACACAGGCTGGGGTCTCGAACGGCGTTGGCGGTGTCCCTGAGGAGACAGGTACCCCTGGCCCTCGTCTCTCTGCCCGGCCTGCCAGGGGTGGGGTCCGGCCGGCTCAGGTGGCGGCGTGCCAAACCAGGGAGCCCGGGCCAGCACCTCTGGGTCCCCTGCTATGGATGGGGGTGGCTCATGGCTGGGGTGCCGCATGCCCTCCTCCCCCAGGAAGACCTGTGGCTTCTCTGTTGTGTTCTCTGATACATCTGAGTCTTGACGCTACTGAAATTCATAGAGGGTTGTTTCTGCGACCCGTAATCTTGAGTCTCCTCTTTTTCATCCCAAGTGGGTCTTCTCCTAAGCTACAAAGCAGACAGATGGGAATTCTGCTTTTGCCCTTCCTGTCTCCCTCCCGTGCGGTGGAGCTCTGACGGGATGTGTCGTGTTTACAGAGCTGGCGGCAGAGAATGCAGAGGGGAATGGTCTGCCCAAGCCAAGAAGGGGTACTGCGTGGAGCGACAGCTGTCTTCAAATAGCGGCTTTTCTGACTCTAAGCATAGCTTGCTAGCCACTGCCGTAAGAGTGTAGAAACCCTCCCAACCCCAAAACCCCATGTCGAGTATTCTCTCTTAAGTGCATTGGTAGTTCAGTCTTGCTTGGGAATGCATATTGTTAGAAGCCAGCTGCCACCTTCTAGCAGTTTAGAACCCTAGGGTGACCCTTCCATTTAGCTTCCGGCGACTGGTCTGTGTGGTGACACCTAAGTTAGTGGCACACAGAGTTAAAAGGTGACAGGAGATGGGGTGCCTGGGTAGCTCAGTAGGTTAAGTGTCCGACTTCAACTCAAGTCATGATCTTGTAGTTAGTTCAAGCCCCGCATCAGGCTCACTGCTGTCAGCACACCCGCTTCAGATCCTCTGTCCCCGTCTCCTCCTCCCCAGCATGTGTATGTGTGTGTGTGTGTGTGTGTGTGTGTGTGTGTGTGTGCGCTCTCTCTCAAAAATAAATAAACATTTAAAAAGAAAAAGGGAGGGGCGCCTGGGTGGCGCAGTCGGTTAAGCATCCGACTTCAGCCAGGTCACGATCTCGCGGTCCGTGAGTTCGAGCCCCGCGTCAGGCTCTGGGCTGATGGCTCAGAGCCTGGAGCCTGTTTCCGATTCTGTGTCTCCCTCTCTCTCTGCCCCTCCCCCGTTCATGCTCTGTCTCTCTCTGTCCCAAAAATAAATAAACGTTGAAAAAATTAAAAAAAAAGAAAAAGGGTGAGGGGTGCCTGGGTGGCTCAGTTGGTTGAGTGTCCGACTTCAGCTCAGGTCATGATCTTGCAGTTCATGAGTTCGAGCCCTGCGTCGGGCTCTGTGCTGACAGCTTAGAGCCTGGAGCCTGCTTTGGATTCTGTGTCTCCCTCTCTCTCTGCCCCTCCCTCCCTCTCTCTTTCTCTCTCTCTCTCTCTCTGTCTGTCTCAAAATAAATAAACATTAAAAAAATTTTTTTTTAGTAAGTCTTTAAAAAAAAAAAAGGCGACAGGGGAAGACTCGCCTAGACTTTTAGGAGGAAAACCTTTAAGACATTTCCTAGATACAGACTAGTTATTTGCTGATGCCCCTTGGGTCAGGCATCTGTACCAAGCTACAATTGCTGCTTCAAATCTCTGCAGAAAAAGAACCAGCAGATACCTCTTAAAGGCAAACAAGAACACTGCCTAATGGTTAATGGGCTCATAACATTTTCACACACACTGCATGTACCTTTTAATCCACCCCGTTTTAATCCACACGCTCACATTCCACACATTAATTACTGTTTTTTCCCTGGTCCTTCAAGGATGGTGCTACGAGAGGGGCTTACTAGGTACAGTTTTTCAGAACGGTTGAAAGGACATTCTGCTGTTCAAAGGATCCCACAGTTTTTAGTCCTTTCTCACAGTAAATTTGGACTCTTTGGGAATAACCACAAACTCTTTTGAACAGATGCAACCCCCCAGACCTTCTCTGTGCTGATTGGGAACCGCGAATGGATGAGGCGCAACGGCTTAACCATTTCCAGCGACATCAGTGACACTATGACAGATCACGAGATGAAAGGCCAGACAGCCATCCTGGTGGCCATTGATGGTAAAATGCCCCACCCACCCCTGCCTTCTGCTCGCAGAAACGAAGTTTCCTTAGGGCTATCTGGCAAAAATAGACTTTCTCGGGTTTTTTTAAAAATATATTTTCCTGTCTGTTAATTTAAATTCTATAGCCCAAAAGGCTGCCTTGCCAGTTTTTCACTTCGTTCTCGGTCTGGAGGTGTCTCTCTCGTTGTGTCCATCCTTCCCGGACACCCAGAGTGAGGCGGTGTCGGCCTCCTTGGTCTTACGTTCTACGCTGCCCTCGCTATCATTGTCTGTGTCCGTCCAAGCCCGACGTTCGGTCACCCGCCTCCCCCATCACTGCAGACGCAACCGTGGTTTGCTGTCCGGGAAGGTTAGCCGCGGGGTGCCCTCCAGTAGCGAGACCCACTGCCCCGCTCCACGGAGCTCTCCAGGATTGCATGTGTCTCAGTCCTCAGGTTATGTCCGCGGCTTCACGCCTCAGTGGATTGGAATCTTCCTTTGCTGGTGTTCTCTCTTTTTTTTTTTTTTTTTTTTCAACGTTTATTTATTTTTGGGACAGAGAGAGACAGAGCATGAACGGGGGAGGGGCAGAGAGAGAGGGAGACACAGAAACTGAAACAGGCTCCAGGCTCTGAGCCATCAGCCCAGAGCCCGACGCGGGGCTCGAACTCACGGACTGCGAGATCGTGACCTGGCTGAAGTCGGACGCTTAACCGACTGCGCCACCCAGGCGCCCCTCTGGTGTTCTCTCTTATAGAAGTGAAACTGTATGCAGATGAGCAACATAAATTATTCTCATTTTTACTGCTTCAACCAGATATGTCCTCTGTCACTCTTTTCTCCTGCTCACACCACCATGCCCTTTCCAAAGTCCTTATAAGCCCGCAGTCCCCTCAGCTCCTCAGATCGGAATCTGCTCAGCTGAAGGGGCCGTGCCCTCGGTCACACCACTCGCCCGCATCTGTCCCCCCGCACCCCAGTCCTCGAAAGCCTTCCTGCCTCAGGATCCGAAGATTCACGCAAAACAAAACAAAACAAAACAAAACAAAACAAACAAAAAAGTTATACAGAGATGCGTTCTATAGGAAGGACTGATTTTCTGTTTGGACATTCATCACTTTTAAGTAGCGTTTATTGTACTCATTCCGATTCTCGTGTTCCAAAAACAATAGCTAACATGCATTGCGTTATTATGGCCCAGACACTCTGCAAAGTGATAGATGTTCCTTGCAGAATATTTGGAAGATTCTGAGAACTATAAAGAAGAAAATGAAATTACTCCTTATCCTAGCCTTCGGAGAGCCACTGTTAGCATTTCATGTTCCTTCCAGACTTTTGTATGCATCTACAAATGTAGGTAACTTTTAAGAATGCAGAATCAAAGCCACGTTATGTTTTGTACTTCGGTGCTTTGCTTTCGCATGTGATGTTGCATTATAGAAATGATCACCGGTAGTGGAGCCTCCTTTCTTTCCTCCTTTGCCCCTCGGGCCACCCAGCGCCCGCCATTGAGGACTCACCTGAGGGTGTCCCCTGCAGGCGTGCTCTGCGGGATGATTGCCATCGCGGATGCTGTCAAGCAGGAGGCAGCCCTGGCCGTGCACACGCTGAAGAGCATGGGCGTGGACGTGGTTCTGATCACTGGGGACAACCGGAAGACGGCCAGAGCCATTGCCACCCAGGTGGGGGCTGGGGGCCGGGGATCTTCCCCCTTTCAAATTGATCTTAAGCCCACTGGAGCAGTTTGAGGGGGAAAAGTCAGCGACAGCCAGTGCATCCAGTGCCCCACCTTGTGTCTGGTCTTTCCCCGTGCTGGGTGCATTTCTCTCCTCATGCTCTGTTCTGGCCCGAGCTATGCAGCATCCCACGGGAGACCACTGTGCTGCTGTCGCAGAAGGCAATTCCAACGTCCTCTGCATCTGTATTTCCAATGGGGGAAAAAAAATCATGGCTTGAGAGTTGAGATATACAACTTTCTAGATTTTGGGTTTAAGGGAATGTTTTGTCAGCTCAGCTCTTTTTTTTTTTTAATGTTTATTTTTGAGCGAGAGAGAGAGAGAGAGAGAGTACGCATGAGTGGGGAAGGGCAGAAAGAGAGGGAGACACAGAATCTGAAGCAGACTCCAGGCTCCGAGCTGTCAGCACAGAGCCTGACGTGGGGCTCGAACCCAAGGACCGTGAGATCACGACCTGAGCCGAAGTCGGACGCTCAACCGACCGAGCCACTTGGGTGCCCCAGCTCAGCTCTTCTCAAGCGTGTGCAGCCGACATGGCTGGGTCGCAGGCAGTTCTCCAGCAGCGCTCACTCCTAGGTACTGCTTCCTGTCCGCCCGGCTCCGCCCAGGCTGATGGCTCCGGTGCAAATTCCTAAAAATTACACAGCCTCCCCAAAGAGGTGTAAAGTGTATGTTTTTGAAAACGAACTGCTTCCTATAAGGGAAGCCCCAGTACCTCTCTATATGTGGCCTTCCTTGCTAACGATGGTCTTGTTGAGTACCCATGCCTCTTCCTGGTTAAAAATCATTTATCAGTTCAGCAAGCACTTCCTAAGCACCACCTATGTGACAGGCTACAGAGCAGAGTGAAGAGGGCACCTGCCCTCCAGCAGCTCACTGCCCTGGGGGGAGGGTGGACCAGTGGCCAGGGTTGAACTGAGGGCTCGGTTCTCCAACAGAAAAGTGCACAGGACGTGTGGGGGATGCCAGATCACACCCCCCACCCCCGCCCTGGCAAGGGCTGGAGACCCCTTCCCAGGGGAGGAAATGCTTGAGCAGGGGTGGTCAGATGAAGAAAAGGGGGAGGGATAGAGAAAGGGTAGCTGACGGATCCAGGACAGAGCAGGCAGCGTGAGCTCCCCAGCAGTGGGCTGGAGAGCTGCCAGGAGCTGAACGGGGCAGAGTCCAGGCTGGGCCTGCTGGGCCACAAGGCAGGAGGCCAGAGACACGCAGAAACCAGTTATAGGGGGGGCCTTGGGAGGCAGACCGAGGAGTGCGGATGTCATCCTAAGGGAAGTGGGAGCCACTGGAAGTCTTTAAGCAGGAGAGTAGCGTGATTGGCTGACCACTGCTTCGGGAAGACCATGGTGGGCATAGGGGGAGGGGAGGCTGGGAGGTGGGCAGGGAGACCCGCAGGGGCCTAAGCCTCCGTGGAAGTGGGGGAGGGCACCAGGATGGGCACGCATGCCCTGGGGTCTGCAGGGTTTGGTGACTGACGTCATCGACTGGACCGGGGGAAGATGACTCGCACATTTCTGCTACTGTTCACCGTCCTTTGCCAACAGCAGGTGTCGTGTATTTGTTCCTTGACTTCTCTTTTCCTTTCCCTTTAGGTTGGCATCAACAAAGTCTTTGCAGAGGTGCTGCCTTCTCACAAGGTGGCCAAGGTCCAGGAGCTCCAGAATGAAGGGAAGAGAGTCGCCATGGTGGGAGATGGGGTCAACGACTCGCCGGCCTTGGCCCGGGCCGACGTGGGCATTGCCATCGGGACAGGCACAGATGTCGCCATTGAGGCTGCTGACGTTGTCCTCATCAGAGTGAGCTTGGCTCTGTCTTCTCCCGCCCTGTTGTCCAGGTCATGGGAGCGGTGAGGGCCGTGGGACAGAGCTCCTGACTGACCGTGTGTTCCTCCTACAGAACGACTTGCTCGATGTGGTGGCGAGCATTCACCTCTCCAAGAGGACCGTCTGGAGAGTACGACTCAATCTGGTGCTGGCATTGATTTATAATCTGATCGGGATACCCATCGCGGCAGGTAGGGTGGCTCTCACCTGTTTGCTGACCTTTGACTCCAGCTTCTTTGACAGCAGGCTTCTGTCTGCCTGCTGGGTTCCTGCCAGCCTAGTGGGTAACCCGCTTCACTGGCTGCCAGAGCGTTTTAGAAAGAGTTTGGTTTCATTATGTTCTCTGCTTCATAAGTCTCTAAAGGTAAATGAAAGCTGCAGAGAGGGTCCCTGGGGTTCCCTGCTCCCTTGGAGCTCCTCCTGAACCCGTGATGCCATTTGGGGACCGTCCCGGGAAGGCCAGGGTGGGTGGGTGAGCCCAGTCCCTTTGATGGCACCCCTACCCAGCTCCGAGACTGCCTGTTGGCACATGGTCATGACATGGCAGCAGGGGCTTCTGAGCCACCCCAAGGAGGAGAACTTCACAGTGGGCAGCCCAAAGCGGTGCCCCTCACCTCTGGGCTGTGGCGTGAGTGTCGTCCTTCCCTTGGCCAGGGGTCTTCATGCCCATCGGCATCGTGCTACAGCCGTGGATGGGCTCAGCAGCCATGGCAGCCTCCTCCGTGTCTGTGGTTCTCTCGTCGCTGCAACTCAAGTGGTGAGTCCCTGGAGGCGGGAGCATGTGCCACGGCGGCACCCCCCAAGCCTTCTCCCTCCGCCCAGCTACCCCTTTCCCTCTGCCTCCTGGGCTGGATGGATGTGTGCCATGTGCAGGTTCCCAGCGCACCTGAGGCAAAGACAGGACGATGGAGCCGTATGTGTGTGTGTGTGTGTGTGCGCGTGTGTGTGTGTGTGTAATGACTTAATCAGCACCACGAGTGAGTAATTCTTCACCTCGCAGCCATCATCATATGCTAGGCTGTTATAGTTAGTCGGCTCAGGGGTTGTTGACGTGGAAATGTCATGTAGACATGGGATCCTCGTGCATTATTATTTTTCCTTTTTTGAAAAAGATATTTGTTCATGCTTTCACTTAACAAAAGTTAATGGCAGCCTACTATGTGCCAGGCATTTAGATAGCAAGTTTCTGAATCAGGTGAACTTTACCTGAATCCTAGGAGCTCAATACCCTTCCCTTTAAAATCCATGAAGTTTTGATACTGTATGTTATTGAAAGGCTTTGATGAGAGGTCTTTGCCAAGTTTCCAAAAAGAAAAAAAAAAAAAGCCTCTGTCCACAATGTCTCAAATGCTCTTGGATCCTTGCCTTGCAGCTATAAGAAGCCCGACCTGGAGAGGTATGAGGCCCAGGCCCAGGGCCGCATGAAGCCCCTGACTGCGTCCCAGGTCAGCGTGCACGTTGGCATGGATGACCGGCGACGGGACTCACCGAGGGCCACGCCCTGGGACCAGGTCAGCTACATCAGCCAGGTGTCTCTGTCCTCACTGAAGTCGGACAGGCTGTCTCGGCACAGTGCTGGGGCTGACGACAGTGGGGACAAATGGTCTCTGCTCCTGAATGACAGAGATGAGGAGCAGTGCATCTGAAAGTTCCGGGCGGGGACGGTCCCGGGGCTCAGTCTCCTTGCTGAATAGTCGGGCCGGCTTTCCTGGTAGACGAGGCTCGGGCCAGTCAAGTACGACACCAGCAGCAAGACGGATGAGGTTCCTGTCCGGCTCGGGGACTTCCGCTCCCTGGACATTCCTGGTCATCTCTCCTAGCACGTGCCGCATCCAGACGTGGCCCCTGGGTCGGCCCACCCTGCCTAGATCCCACTAGCACAGGGACCAGGCATCCTGGCCAGACCCTGCTGTTGGCACAGGCTTATTGGGAACGTGGCTGGACTCTCTCAGAGGAGGGGACAGCCAGCCCTCCGCACAGGCCTCTGCTTTTGTGTTTGGGATGATTGCTTGTAAAAGGACCAAAAACTTGGCTGGGCCTTTCCTTAAAACTCATGAAAAGCCATGAGTTTTGACAAGACCCACACACATCAAGTATCTGAGACCGCAGTTTACCTCAAATGCACCCCATTGACTTCTGCCGGCCCGGTCTCTTCCTTTTCTGTTCTTCCCACTGGGGATGTGCCGCCCGCCTCCCCCCCGCAAGCCCTGCCCGGTCTCTGAGGGCATGGCTGATGCCGTAGTGATCCCTGCTGCTGCTCCCGGGCGCCTCTGCCAGACTCTGCTCCCTCACATGCTTGGCCGGAGAGCCTGCCATGCTTCTCTTCAGGTTGAGGAGAGTTTTCTTTCTCGCTAGTGTGCCGCTTGGCCACGGAGTCCTGGCCACGTGCTCAGCGGCCACGGTGGCCTCCTCCGTGTCTGTGGTTCTCTCGTCGCTGCAGCTCAAGTGGTGAGTCCCGTGGGGCGGGAGCGCGCACCACAGGCGGCACCCACTGGGCTGTCTCCCTCACAGAATGGCCTGCTGTTGTGGATTGTCGCTGCCCCACTGGAGGGAGGGTCTCAGAGCCTGAGACCTGAGAAATTCTGCTCCCTGTGGGGTCCAGGCACTTGGGACCCTGGGAGCCCTGTGGTGCTTGAAATGGGTGTCCCACGGGGAGGTGTGTGCGCTCACAGGAACCTCCTTGCAGGCCTCCGGGAGCTTCAAATTACATGGTCTGCTGCGTGACCGTCACCTCGTGGCATTCATTCAGAACTCCTGCCAGGCGTGCCCCTGGTGGTGTGCAACTCCAAGCAAACAACGATACCCAAATCAGAGGAAATCAGTTATTCTCCATGAGCTCCTACTTCTGCACCCTGAGTCAGTGCCTTAGGAAAGGAGTCACCACACCTTCCCCAAGGGAAAGTCTTTCACACTTTGAGTGGCTCTTTGTGGTGGGGCAGGAATGGGGCCAGTTTTAGACTCTAAAGTCGGTGGTAGTTGAGAGAACTACATAGGAGTAGACGAGTAGGATGAAATAAATTTTAAGGTAGAGCCCTGATCGCATACACAGAATAATTTTATTTATTGAGTATCAGTTATTTTTCAGGGACAATATAAGCACTTTCTATAGGTTACCTCTAATCCTCCCAGCATACCAGCAAAGTAGATGCTATTGTCCACATTTTATAGGCGGGGCAGTAGGCCCAGAGAGGCTACGTATCCTGTCCAGGATCACACAGCCAGCACACTTGCCAAAACGGGGATCCAAATCCATGTCTCTTGGCTCTGAAGTCTTTTCTTTATTGCCGCTGCCACCCGAATATCAGTTTGGTAAGAATAAATAGGAAAAGGGCACTTGGCTCTTAGAAGAACAAAGCTGCCAGGCAATACACTCATTGTTATCAACTGGGCATGAAATTTGACCGTGGGGTCAACTTCCTCACCTTCTCCTTGGATGGTTTGTTTCCATTTTCGCATATGATTCCATTCTGTTGGGTCTTGCCCTCTAAAATGCAAGTGCAGGGGGCTCTGTAGTGCCTCTATCATTTTCAGTCTTCCTCTCCTTCCAAGCCCCTTCCCGTTCTTCCCTTCCTTTATTCCTGGCTGTGCTTGGGAGTGTTTCTTGTTTTCTTAACTAGGTTAATCATTGTCTAAAGAATCTAACTGCATTGATTTTTTCCAAAGGCTTTTGGGACCATAAACATCATGCGTATATGGCCATGAAAATATTTATATAATTGCACAGAATGTAACCTTTAGATGTTCAAGGGATAAGGATTTTTGTGTGCGTCAGATAAGAGCAGTCCCTATTCCAGAAACTTTCCATGCTGTATTAGAATAAAGTTTATTTTTATTCATCTGAAAGTCTGCCTCTTGCTGGCTCCGCGTGTGTGAGAAGCATAATTGAGGCCAGTGTGGCTCCGTCTTCACTGAGAACTTCTGCAAGGTGCCGGCTTTGGTCTGCCTCATCAGGGCACAGAAGGGCAGGGTTTTAAACCGTGGAGGCCGTGGGGGGTGGCCAGACCCTCTGATGTGCCACCCCTGGCACCATGTGGGCCCCTCTCCTAGATACAGGGCCTGCCTTGGCGGTGTGTGGAGAGAACCCTGGGGGGCAACCCCATCCAGGTATCTGTCCCACCGGGCCAGACACGGGCCTCGGTCTGCCCCATTAGATGCACCTCTCTCATTGAGAGTAATTGTCAACAAAATGCTGCGTCAGACACACGTGTTTTAATCTGGAGGGATGTGTTTTGTGTCCCTTGGCCCTAAGGGAGCGGGGCAGGAGGAGTAGTCGAAGAGTCTGGACCAAGGGGCTCTGCTGGGAAGGCTCTGTGGGCATCTTGGGGTGGCGAGAGGGCCGCAAGTGAGCTCCAGCTGAGGCCGAGGTGACAGAGTAATTTATCATCCAAACCAGGACACTTTTAAGAGTGAAAGGAGGCGCTATTAATACTTGGCCAGGCCAGCCGGCCTGCAGTGACACTAGCCAGCAAACTGGGACGCGTGGTCACCTTCCCAAAAAGGGAGATAGACCTTGTGAAGTCACTGACACAAACTGCAGCACTTCAGAATGCTGCTCTCATTGTAGATTCTGTGGACATGTTGGTGACATATCCTTTATCCAATTTGAGATTTTTCCCTCTGTCATATCCTGAGACCAATGCTTCTCCGTAGAATCACTGAGGTGGTCATCTTTGTGGCCCCGTATGACCACATCAAGAACCAGTCACAGATGTGTCACACTTCCTGGTGCCCTACAGTTTCTCCAGCACATGTAGGACTTCAAGCCAGGCACCCTTGACTGTTTTTCTGGAAGCGCAGGTGTGGGGGGTTTCGTTGTATGCATGTCTCCTTGTGGGAAGAGAGGATTCCATTTCTTTAAAAAATAGATCTTTCTAAAATTTGAGCAGATCTCCCTGATACGATTCCACATGCACCAGAATAAATCACAGCGTCTATCCATTTCTGATAAGTTTTCAGCCTTTAAGATCTTCGTGAAGGCTTGTGAAGGACAGAATCTACAATGAGAGCTTATAGGGGTCACCCTATGAGCAAATAATAATTGTAGTTTTCTTGGTAAAGATGGCACCGGGAAACTGACGTGTCAAGAGGTAGATACTAAAGTTGTTCTGCTAGTTTACTAAGAGACCAAGATTGGGGTGCCTGGGTGGCTCAGTCGGTTAAGGGTCTGACTCTGGATTTTGGCTCAGGTTATGATCTCACAGTTGATGAGTTCAAGTCCCACATCAGGCTCTGCACTGACAACGTGGAGCCTGCTTGGGATTCTTTCTCTCCCCCTCTCTCTACTCCTCCCCAGATCAAGCTCACGCTCTCTCTCAAAATAAATAAATTACAAAAAAATTTAGAAACCAAGAATAATAAAAGTGGCCTTAATTTTAAGACAATCCAGCATAGACCAAAATCAGCCCACCAAATAGGTTAATTAGAAAAAGATTATTTGAATTAGAAGGTATTTTTTTTATGTTTTAAAAAATTCATGTCAATATTTCAGTAGGTAAATTCCCTAATGCATATAAAGTTCTCCTTGAGTTAGGAAAGTTTTATTTTGCATGCAACTTTTTCTTAACTGCATCTTTTATTTAAAGACAACAAATAGATATAGAGGAATGCATATACAGAGAAATGCTCTCAGCAAGCATTCACGCTGACTCAGTTTCCCTTTGCAGATGACCCTGTATGTGGGAGCGTGGATCTAGTTTGGAATGCACTGTGGAGCTGCTGGGAACGAAACCACTCTGCCTTCTGCATTTTCTCACTCAGCTCAGGCAGGGACACATACGCCACTGTGTGGGTTTATCCCAGAGGGAGATGTCTACTTGTCTGCTGTTCTCTTTTGTGTGAAGACAATGGCAATGGTTGAAATTACAGGATAGAGTACGAGAATGTTAAATAGTGCCACGAAATCCCAGCGTCTCCTTTATTCGATTCAAAGAGATGAATAAACACATGTGAAATCATCCAAGGGCTAAGATGAAAACAAGGATTGATGGAAATGTAACATTTTTTCCTCTGAAAAGGAAATAGCTGTTACTTCTTTTTACTTCCTATGAATGTGGTAACCACTTACAGCAAGATTTAAGCATAGAGATCTGTAAACTGGGGAGGGCGGGGGGGGGGGGGGGGGAAATAGCACCCAAAAGGAAACCCCACGAGCATGATTATGTGGAGGGCGTCCTTCGTGGGAGAACCACATGGAGACCCTGAGGGAGCAAAGCCTGTCTGTCTCCGGGGGCCCAGCGTCCTGATCTAGTGGAGGGAGAGGTGCTGTAACGTGCCGGGGACGGAGCTGTTGTGAACCGACTGGTACCCAAGACCCCGTGACAATGTTCAAACCCTGGGAGGCCAGGCTGCCAGCTGTGTGCTGGGGCCACAGTGGGCTCTGTCTTTCCTGCTCACCCTGTCCTCTCAATGACAGAGCGGTGGGCATCAGTCAGTCTCATTTCCACAGATGGGGGTGACCAAGCTGAGGGGCCTCCAGCGGACTGTCCAGGGGACAAAGCCGGGAAGGGTGTTTAAGCCCACTCAGCTCTGGCCCTGTGGGGCCCACCCACCTCCCTGCAAACGTGATGCCCAGTGCTCTCGGCAGGAGAAGCTGGGCCTCCCTGGCACCCCTGGTCCCCGTCACATGCTTGGGGGAAGAGAGTGTCCT